CGCCCAAGTCTCGAACAAGCTCAACACGCCAAAGAAATTTTCGGGTGCAGCGCGAAAACGCATTCACTGTCCCGAATACAATGTCGACTGTCCCTCAACTCTTCCTAATGGCACGATATTCAATCGAAAGGACTTATACACACAACATCTTAGGCGCATGCATGTCCCCACGCATCTTAAAAGTAAGGTCAAGTTGAAGACGCCTGTGCCTGAATGGGAGGAGCAGCAACGTGTACACCAAGACAGGGCTATTCGAATCAGATGCCACTTACCTGAGCACATGTCCTGTCCGGCACCCAACTGCAGCGCGCAATTTGAAGGCAGTAACGCCTGGGATGATCGCATGGAACACGTCGCGAAACATCTGGAGAAGGCGGCTGCCGGTTTAGAGCCGCCAGTACCATTTGGTAGCGAGACGGACGACTCGCTGATAGACTGGGCCACAAGTCCTGCTATTGGGATTCTTCGAAAGGGAGACAAAGGCAAATGGACATTGCAGAACCCTCTGAAGGCCTACACCCATACGACATTATCTGCAAATGAAGGCTGCGAAGATGCTGATGCCGAAGGCGAAGAGATTGAGGAATGAACCTTCAACCCTCAACCTAAAACAACGATTTCTTTCCATATACCCCCTACGAAATTGATCCTCATAAGATCTTTTCTATATGTTTCAAAGCCATTGCATACATGATACCTGACGATGGGAGGAAGAGCAACCCAGGACATATTGTTTATCCTTCCTGTTCTTATTCGTGTTGATATTAGCTCACTTCTCTGGGATGTTATTCATCGCAGTACACGTTTTGATATCTCCCCTATTGAATCCAAGAAGACAGGATTAGTAGGCCAAAAAAGGCTCTGAGAGCACATGGATTCCACGTTGATGATGATGATAACGATTCATTCCCACTAGCAAGATACATAGATCTAAGAAAATAATGGAGAAACTCGTCTAGAAGCATGATAAGTTCCGGGTCTTGGCTCGCTGTTGCTTACTTCGTTCCAAAATTAGCTGACAAAAGAAATACCTATGTATCTCCTTGTATATACATGCTCAAAATGGTCGGGTCTCGACCGCCATAGCGGGAGCCAGCATCTTAGTCGATTCAGCCATGCTGCAAGTGTACGAGATCCTCCCAGACAGCAGGGGAAAAAAGGTACGTACACTTTGTGTGCACCCTATTTATACACTACATGGACGCACGGTGGTTCCCTGCATGCGCATGACATGCGTGGTGATCGGGACTATCCGCCACCAATGATTCCGTCACGCAAGTGTGTTCCTCTCCCATCACGAACTGTCTATACTATGCTACGCCGCCGCCACGGACAAATTTGGCCCTTTTTTCCCTTTGGTCCTAGCTAGCGTGGGCCGCCGAAACATTTTAACGAGTACTCCGTAGATATGTATATAGGCTAGCTAGTGGTGAACAGGATTCGGGCCATGATGTATGTAATAATGTATGTACTTACGTCTAATATGGATCTGCAGATGTCAGCACAGCCGAACTCCGAATCTGCGAGCGCCACTGGAGTAGTTGGCCTCGCCTTGCGGCGTGAGCATGGTCTCGTGTCACCCGCCAGCACAAAAATCTCGTATGTGAAGTTAGTTAGAGAGCCGCGTGTCGATGAATATCCAGATCAGCAATTCATGGGCCCCTCATCACAGCGTTACTTCGTGCGACGACGTTGAGGCTACTTCCAACGCGTGATGGGGTAAGCCCCTATCACCGCGGCGTCCTGGTTCTCATGCCCACGTATTGCGCAACTTTCTCTGCATAATCTAGTGTTCCTGCTGGCAAACATATGATGGGCGCCAACCTTTGGCTGTCTGTCCTTCGTGATGGTCATCGGGATCTGAGAAGTATACTATGTACTCCCAGAGAAGTTTTTTCTACGAATCTAGACATCATTGGCTATGCGAAGTGACATGAATCGTGTCTTTGTGACCCGCCGGGAGATTGCAGCAAGTAGATGCCAGAGATTGTGATAGGGGGCTGAGTCTCCTGTTGCCGGCCAGCCACATATCTTTGTCGGCTTCTTCACCCCTTGCTTGAGCCTCCATTATAGACTTCGTGTAGGAGTATATGGAAAATTTCGAACCCGCCATCTAGATTATTCGCTATTGAACCTGGAAGCCAAGTAGCATGTATAGTGTTTTAGATTCTCTGAGGCGTTGAAGACTGCTACATTGAATTTCCGCTCGGAAAGCTTAAGACTAAGTACAGCACACTTGGCATGCCTGGAAGTACCACCAAGGGGTATAGGAGATATCACACCTTTTCACAAAATTTGAACTCATGGTCGACTCTCGAGTTGGTTCGACTTAGAAATGCTTCCTTTTTCCACATACTTGAATGTCTATAGTACATTAACACTGCCCTGTCAGGCGCTGGGTTTCGGTTTCCCCGTTGGCTGGACACTTTTACTGCACTTGTCTCATCTTGTGTTTTCGTGTTGGAGCCGTGTAGGAAGGCTCTAAGGAGAAAGGTCGAAATGAACATGTAGTCAGGAGATGTTCGTACTACTCAACGCGTGCATTACGTAGAGATGGTGCGATAGCGGTGAAGGTGAGTATTCTGGCGATGTATCGATGTGGCATGGAAGTGATACATGGTTAGACGCCCGTACGGCCTGGAGAGTGAACTGTACTACTTCCCCTGAACATCTCAATATGTCTGGTCGGTATCCCTGCCACTACACCATGATAAATTTAGAACCCGACTTTCTCTTGTTACATACGTCCGTAGTTGACTGGCTAAGAATAAGTGTTGAAGGATTGAACATGAGATTAGATACCACCAGTCGCAACTCGCAAATAGGTTGTGCTCAAAATTTATGGTGATCGTTCCTCGATTCAAAGTTCTAGTCAAGAAAGTTCGTCGTGCGGCTTGTAGCATTCTGATCAGTACGTACTGACAGGATCACTTGCAAGCAGGTTTTGCTGGCTATCACCCCTCCAGTCGGCCCCAAAGACAATACCAATATCACAATGTGATGCCATGATTCGTGAATTGCATATCTTGGCCTTTGGGGTAATGTTGCGCATCATACGATGTAAATACCTACTTATGTACAGGTTGGTAATCTGTAGGTAGCTCGGGTCACTTTTCAGTGTTTGTAACCTCGTCTTTTTCCTAGGGACTACATCCCCAGCCGCGGATTTCGATCGCTGCTTTATTTCGCGCCTTCATTTGCTTACTGATCCATATCACTATGTGCTCAACGGCATCGTGTTACTTAAGAAGTAGCAAAAAGCGACAATATTACCGTTTTACGTAGGCAGATACGTTGAGAGATTTCAGAGGCGCTACGGAAAGCCACGCTGCCGCTGCGACTGCTACTGCCGCCCCCTGAAAATCTCTTTGTGATCCACTACTGCCACCACCATCTCATCTCCATCTCCATCATCCGAATTGTAACATCAATAGCAGCAGCGGTACAAACGACAGCTTATCGTATTCATGGCTCTGTGGCGGTACTCCCAACCTATGAGACCGGTAGCATTGCCACTAGATAGCCCCGACGCCTGCGGCCTGTCGTCGAAGCCGAGGGACCCCCTTCTACGCATAATGATCGTGTACCACCTCCGATAAAACGGATGCCGATGCAATTTTTTCCCTCGAGCTCGGATATACCGTCAACCGCGATATTATAACGAATCATTTACAAATGATGAGAGCTTGGAGACCTCGTCCGCAAATCCACACTGGAAGCAGAGTCTGGTAGCTCGACCCAATCGAGGTCTCCGGATTATGCCATCCGTCGTCGCTTAGAAGAGGCTCAAAACACGACGACATTGAAGACAAGGTCGTAGCATGTAGCGGAAGAAGAATCAGAAAGGACACCTGCAAGTCGAGACCGAACCTTCGTCAAAAGAATGGGACCCTCTTTCAACCGCTGAATCCCCGGAGGTGACATTTTGTGCCGTTCTTGCTTAGAGACCCGCTGAGAGTGAAACGGGGAATGAAGACGCTGATCCAGACACGTTGAAGTCAGCGGGACTTATCACGCACCGCTAGGCCAGCTTTCTCCTCGAAGAGATGAGGGGCTCCCAGGTGGAGGAGAGAAGTTGCCTGGGCGTCCTCAGAGGACGTATTTGGCTTGGCGGAAATCTTTTTGGCTCCCCACCGACGCCGGGAGTGCCGAGATCTCCCATGATCGACAGGTGTCAGACTGAGGCGCAGAGAGGAGACTAGGAGACTATTTTATGGTACGAGGGTTGATGTGCTGTGGGACGAGACGGGATCGAAGAGATTTTCGGTGTCCCGCGAATGTGCATGAAAGTGAGATGCTTCACTTGTTGGAGGATCCATTGTAATATTTTTATGCCGTTGTCTAGAGCTTCAGGAATGCGTTTTATGGTTTGGGCGGCGCTTGCTGGCTGTCTTTCGTACGTTCTTTATCTGAATGTTGAAGTGCTGAAACCTCTGACGACTTATTTTGATGGGTCTTCAATAGGGATACGACACCTGTAGCGCGTCGCATGTGGTTTTCGATACGATTTGCTTCACCTTGTCGGTCTCTTCTTGATATTGGAGAAGATGTTCATCTTGGTCATGGAGTCGTTCTGGGTATGACACGGGCGGATCAAATTGGTGTCATGTGTACTCAATTCGTAACTCCGTCTACGCAGTACAATGACTTTTTCCGAGAAAAAATGTACAGGGCCGCTCCCGATAGAAATGGGGATGATTCACGAATATGTCCTTGAAAGTAGTTCAACAAGGTGACACTCCAGCTTACGTAGACTTACAGATCAAGGAATATCTTTTCAGTGGTACATGATTTACCAGCACCGGATACTTTCGATATTTGACTAACCCTACAATATACTGGACACAATTGTGTTCGCACTCGCCTTATTATTTGTTGCGAACGCTGACGATGAATGCTCCTCGTCTGAGTCGTCTTCCATAATACCTACCTTTCACCAAAAACGTCTAACCCCCACCGACTCCTACTCAGTAGCATTAACGCGCGATCTCCTCAACAAAGCCCGCTTGGCTAAGTGGTATAGCGTGTCACTAGTACTCGGTGTTTGCAATCTCGATTGCGTTCCCCTCTAGATGCCATGACAAGATCAGCGGTTCGATTCCGCTAGTGGGCAAAGTTTCGCCTTGGTTAACACCATCAATCCGAATTGGTGTAGTGGCTAACATTTGACGCTCTCATCATCGTTTGTTCCCAAACTTTGAAAAGTGCCGTCAAGCCCGGGGTTCGATTCCCCGATTCGGAGTGTGAAAATATGTTATCCTGGTGAGATTTACTTTTTGGCCGGTTTGTTGCTTAGTGCTTGGGTTATGCCGACATTGTTTACACTAGGTAGTTAGTGCAGGTAGGTAGAGAGATCACTAGGTAGGTACTGTTCGGCTCGGAGGTAAATACATCGTACTGAATATCTACCTACCGTAGACGATCGAGCCAATGCGATGATTCTTTCTTTCTTTCTTAAATGGGCCCAGTATTGCTTAGGAAGTACCTACGCTGTTGGCCGCACTAAGCGGCCTGAATTGAGATTTTTGTTCAGCCATCTATCGCCAGATGAGCCTCTATCTCATTGGAGTACAGGTGGCCAACAGCGTCTTCAACATCAAGCATGATGTTCGGTTCAGTCAGGGAAGTCAAGCATGTGATGTTGGGACAGCATAATGCATTTCTTGCAAGCACGAGGCACATGATGTTAGACCCGACTGACCATCTCAGACTTCTCAATTTGAAGCACATGTGAGGACTTGCTTTTCTGCATCGGTTTGTCTTGCTGGAGATGCTTGCTTGCCGCTTCGTCTGAAGTTGTAATACTGTAGCTTAGCTACATTCCAATGTCTCAGATGCGCAAATATGATACCAGGAATGTGGGATATCACTTGTGTGAAAAGGTGAATGCAACTTGTCCAAGCAAAACTTTTCAATAGCGAATGAAGTGGTGAGGAGGTATTATTGATATAGGGGAGATCTTATGATAAATACAATGAGATCTCGTTGACCAGGGAGACTACGTTGAGATGAGCTTGTATGAGCCGGTCTTCACCGTGGACAGACCCGTTAGACATCGTTTCTATTTTATCAGTAGTGATCAAGTTCGGCACATGATTGATATTGGTGATGCATCACACTGATGACGACCCTAACTAGTTTCTCGAGACAAAGGGAACTGAGACTTGCCCATCGCTTCGCTTCACGGCCAGATGGATATAGAGAAATAATATGGAGCCACTACACTACAGCCCATAAGAGTAGAGATGTTTCGCTCCGTGAGTACAGGCCATCGATCACGATTGTGGGCTTCCATCGCTGGCATCTCATCTCCCTGACCATGGCGCCGATAGTCGCGGAGATTGAATGGACTAAGGTCTTCATTCGGGGCCTCGGTAGTGAGTCGACGTTTCATTAGGCCCTTTCTCCGGTTAAAAACAAAACGGATCAGGCTCACCAATAGATGCCTAATAGCCCTTACACCCAAAGACGTAATCAATCACGTAGAATCGGTCCCGTATTATGAGCCGGACTATACAACAAGCAGGAATATTTCATCCTACTACGAGTCGATGACATCGGCCAGTACAGCAGCTGGATATACTGCGACAAGCCTGGTTACGATCATCATCTCAGAGGTCGCAACTATAACATCGACATCGATTGCGCTCATGACAAGCGAGAGCACAATTGCAGCGTTGGCGCCAACGGAAGCACCTCTCACATCGGCGCCATCAGCGACAATAATATTCTCTCCCGGACAGATTGCTGGTATCGTTGTGGGCGCAATTACGGGTTTATTGTTTCTTGTCCTGCTCTTCTACCTGCTTTTGACACGGGAGAAATGGGTAGCTAGAATTGCTCACCTTCGTCTTAAAAAGAAAGAGCAGGTAAATGATAAGAAGCCAAGGCGCGGATCCGAGAGAAATGGAAAGTCAGCGGGAGCCCCTATGCGAAAACCCGCACATAGAAAGACTGTCAAGGAAAGGCAAGCTGGACCGACACGGCCGGCAAAGACACGGCCGGCAAAGACACGGCCGCTTTAGGTAGATGTGTATCACGCCTGGATAGTGGAGGCAAGAAGTAAATGAAGGGCTAGGTACTATGACCGGCCATTTCGAAGGAAAGAATATCTAGCAAGAATGAGCACCTATCTACCTATTGCCAATGGAGATTGACCGGCATGAGCCAGTGGTCAATACATACTTTTGCCGATATGGAAGCGGTGCCTACGGATCGGATGAACACATGTGATGATGCTACAAAGCATGCCAGCGTGGAACCACCAAGTGGAGGCGCCAGCCACACCATCATTTGTTACATCGGGCGCTCGCTTATTATTATTAATGATACTCAAGGCGCAACGAGTGTGTGGTGTGGATTGCAGGAATGTCTGAATCCTGCCTGAACAGAACCGTCCGTCTTCCGTGCTGGCTGACCAGTAGAAATAATTACTAAGATATTCAAGCCCTGAGCAGGGTTATTTTCTGACACACCAATACGGATTCTCGAACAGGGGTTGATCCTACACTAACACTACAGGAATCGTTTAAAAATGGCTGGAGAATCGGCCAATCTCGAATCAACAGTCAATGCGGACGACGCCGGAGCAGTCTTACGTGCTCTGGAATGAATATGACGGAACGGCGGGATTGGCAGCGCAAACATTGAACCACTGGAACAAACACTTCCACGTCAGTTCACACGTGATGGAACTTGTTTGGACGGATATACACTACATATGTAGGTAGTCCATACGTCCGTACGGACGTATTTACGGACGTAATGCCCATCTTGGGAGTGGAAAAGTTTTGCGCCGTATTACTATTGGCGTTATAGTGGGTCTTCGGGGCAAAAAATATTTACAGTAAATCCGAATTCCGTAGCGCACGAGGGGCAGTGCATTCTGTGCGTACCTTTAGGTAGGTAGGTAGGTATCTAAGGTACTTCGTAGGTAGGTAGTCCGTGTAAGTAGGTACCTATTCCGTACTAAAACTTACAAATGAGCCGCTGAGACCCGCTGAAAGGCCGCGAAAAACTCAACTGTAAAACCTCTTAGCGGCTCATTTATTCAGTTAGGTGCCTTTATTTAGTTACCTTAGGTAGTGTACCTAGGTAGGTACACTACAAAATTGATCGGAGGTAGGTAGGTTAGGTTAGGTAGGTAGTATTGCCGATTGGTAGGTAGGTAGTAGTACCTACCCTAGGCAGTGTACCTACCTACACTAAGTACCTACATACCTAGGGTTGTTACCTAATCAGGGTAGTGGCTGCGCTATTTTAGCGGCTGGCCTAACTTCCGTATCTGAACACGATTTCTTTCATCGTTGACACATGATTGGCGGATAAGCAAAAACGTCCTGCCGTTTTCAGAACCGGCCCGCTCTTTCTTGATGCATAATTGATACCTAATGAGTAGTTGGGCCCCGCTCTGAATTTGACCGCCACTCACATGAGCCTACTTATGTGCGGATTATCTCCCTCTTCAATTTTGAGCCCCATCTCACCTTACCCTCCTTTTTCTCATCCATCTTTCCGCTATCAATCAGTGACCATACATTTGGTATATTGACGAACGCAATTCAATCCGCAATACGATACCTACCTGAACCCTGTCTGCTTCTCATCCAAGCATCAATCCCCCATTCCCAAAAGAACCTACTTTATCATTTGATCACCCTGGATCCTATCGACAATGGCGCCAATCCAAAGCAACATGTTAAATTGTAATAATTGTTACGGCGAGGACATTTCCCGTCAGGTGAATGTCCTCGCCAGCTGCTACTTGGTAGACTCGGCTGCTTCCCTCAAGGGCCTCCATTACTGCACTACCGGGGCTGCAGGTGAGTGTCATACTCTTCCTTTTACCTATTCGGGTTCGCTGTGACGCTCGACTAACATCACCTGATCATAGGGGCCGAGTGGCATTCCTGAGGTTCCTATCTCAGGTCTGCCATCCCCTCCGTCAAGTCCCCCCCTCGCGGCTTTCACCCCGTCCAACGAGCTCGCTCTGCAACCCAAGTCCTATAAGCGTAGCTCCGACAATTCTATCACGACCAGCTTTAACCGCATTACCACCAGCCGCCGCCGAGGGGGGGCAACATTTCAGATCAGGGAAGAATGTGAGAGATTCTTTTGTGAGACCATGAGGGCCGTATTCCAAGGTGAGCGGAATACAGTCGGTAATGGCTCCTGCCTGACTGGTGTTTACGGTGTTCTTACGCCACCCGATCATTATCCTTCTCCTACTCTGCCCAGTGAATCAAGCGCCATTGTGGACGTCAAAGGTTGGGTAGAATTTTGGGATTATGTGGGAGGCGCAAGTTTCCGGGCTTTTGTAGCCGAGAAAGACGGCGAAAAGTCACTATTTGCATTCTTCGATAGCGGACTTGTCGGCCGAGATCTTAAGTCAGCGTATGTGTTGTTACTCGCTGCCCTCCGAGCTTTCATTGTATTGTGTTGTACTAACGTCGTCGCAGACTCATTGCTTTGATCGAATTGGCCGACGCTCCGTTGGGATGCTCTCACGTTGTCATTTGCATGGACCGACACATGCCAGAAGACCACGCAAAGTCCTTAATGAGAAGTCTACAGTGGGTTGGCTTTGACCTCACCACGCTCGACTATTGGACAGGAGGTGTTGATGTCGTCAGCGACACATGGCTTTTTCTCGGAATGGAGGTTTAATCACTATCCGATGCTCCACAGCAAAAGCAGCAACTAGGCTATTTATTACCTAGTATTATTTGAGGTTTGTCATCCAAGGTGCTGACGGTGGCTCTTACTTGCATTTTTTCGGAGTTGGAGGTTTCAGGGCAATGTGCATTACGAGTCGTTCTGCATTCACCACTGCACTTTCATCGTAACTATTGAAAAGCATGCATAGTCTGGGACGGAGTCGGGGTTCTTCGGACTGATCCGAATGTGCTGTTCTACGGGAATAAGTTCATAGCCTGTCCATCAATATACAAACAAATCTTCACCGAGATTTCAATAATGGCACATCTCATTCACCGCGACATCATGCTTTTTGCCGCCAGAACACCGTCTATATTAGATGTATCATGTGATTTGTTCTGAAATCTCATAATTCACCCTCAAATTTCCGCACCTCCAGACCTTTTGATGCTAGATGGTCCTTGACCTGTTGTACTGTGTACTCGCCCCTGTGAAACATACCGGCGCCCAGCGCGGCGTCCGTGGTCGTCTCCCGGAATACCTCTTCGAAGTGCACGGGGTTACCGGCGCCACTGGAGGCGATGA